TGTGTGTGTGTGTGTAGGTAGGTAGGTATTCTGAGGAAGCATGAGCAGAGTGTGCACACCTGAGCGCGGAGGCTCAGAGCCCTTGGCGTGCCAGTAGGCGCGCAGGAGTGAATGAGATGCAGGGCACAGGGTTGGGCAGCCTGGCCCTTTCCCCTGGCGAAGCCGGCGACTGACGGCTCCGCCTCGTGCAACAACTTGGGACTTTGTTCCGGCTTCTTCGAAAGCGGATCTAGTCGAGGGGGCGGGGCGGGGGGGCACCTGCCTGGCGGGGGGTGCCGAGATAGAAGTGCAGGAAAGCCCACCCCAGCCCCGCCTCCGCCCCGCCCCCACCCCGCCCTCGGGGAGCTTTATAAGCTGGGTCCGAGGGCCGGCAAAGAAAGCGAGTATCCCTCCCACCCCAGGCCGTGATTTCTCTACACTCCGTGTCCTGGCCCTGAGTCCCTCTCCGCGTTCCCCAATCCGGACCCCGCCCCGCCCCAGCCCCGGCCCGGCCCGGCCCGGCCCCGCAGTCATGGAGCGCTGGCCTTGGCCGTCGGGCGGCGCCTGGCTGCTAGTGGCGGCCCGCGCGCTGCTGCAGCTGCTGCGCTCAGACCTACGTCTGGGCCGCCCGTTGTTGGCGGCTCTGGCGCTGCTGGCCGCGCTGGACTGGCTGTGCCAGCGCCTGCTGCCCCCGCCGGCGGCACTCGTGGTGCTGGCTGCTGCCGGCTGGATCGCGTTGTCCCGCCTGGCGCGCCCTCCTCGCCTGCCCGTGGCCACTCGCGCGGTGCTCATCACCGGTGAGTGCGCGGAGCGCAGAGACTCCAGGCTGGAGGGCGGGACCGCACACCTAGAGGGTTTCCCTTGGGCACCATCAAGGCGGACTCCTCTCCGAGATGCAAGAGAGAGAGCCAAGTAGGAAGCTCTGGGCACCTCACCAAGTCCGGGTTAACTACCTGCGGCCGCGGGGAGTATTGAAGGGAAAGTTAGGTAGAGAGTGGGCAGGTGCTCAAAGAAAACTAGTGACTAAGAAGGAGAGACGGAGTTTATGCTGTGCTCTTCCCTAAGAGACCAGGTGTGGAGCAGAGGACAGTACTCTTAAAAGGACTACAGGAGACCTGAGAAGGGAGAGTGCCATCCCTTGAACTCTGCCTGGCATCTCCACATCACTGGAACACATTGTCTGCTATTCTGGGGAGACAGAGCTTAGATGCGAGTTCTGCAACCCCTGACCTCCACTGGCTGGAATCCCTGGAGTTCAGAACCGCCTGAGGTCACAGCAGCTGGATAGTAGCTGCTGCTTAGATCCAGCTACCCATTGCCAAAACTGCAGCATTCTGCTCCAAGTACTTCATCCTGCCTAGTCCTGGGTGCCCGGGAAAGAGCTTTGGAGAGCTGGACTCAGGTGTCTCGGGTGCCTGGCTGAGCTCTCTTTGTCTGGAGCAGGGAATAAATCTGTCATCAGAGGGAGGGAAGGGGGGAGGGGGGCTGCAGACCCAGCAGGAAATGGGGAGGGGGAGGAAGGCCAGGGGGCATTGGTCCATTACATGGGAGGAGGGGCAGCCTTGTTTTTCCCCCAACCACCATGGCTTCTCAGAGATCTTGGTCCTTTATGAGTGGTCTGTATGATCCGATGGGGCTGGGAGAATTTAGGAGGAAATCCTTGGAGAGAGCTGGGCGGAGACAGGTGGAATATGGAAGGTGTCTTGGATCACAGAGAGGGTGTGGGACAAAGGCTTAAGACAGGAATAAGCACATGATTTGGGAAGGGGATAGTCAATAACCAGTCTGGCTGTGGGGGTGTGGTGGGATGTGAAGTTTCCTCGGGAGGAAACCTGAATGTCAGGTGAGAAACCAGATTGTATAAGGTAGAGGAGGGCGGCATGGAGGCTTATGGCTTCAGCAGAGGGGGTGGGGATCAAGTAAGATGGAAGAGATTTCCAGGGTTGAGTGTGAAGCCTCAGGGAACCACAGTTTCAGGAGGCTCAGGAAGGAAAGCCACCAAACTCTTGGAATGCAATGGGGACTAGGTTATAAAGCAGAACAGATCCCTTCCGGCCCTCTGCTCTGTGAGCTACTTCACCAGGTCCTAGGCTGTTTCAGGTTCTACTGGCCCAGTTGGGCAGTGAGTGGTTCCTAAGATCTCACCTCAGGTCTTTGGTACTGCTGTTACTTCTAGTCTTGAGCCTGAGCAAGAGGTGACCTGAGCTTCCTTTATCTCCTCAGAGCTCCGTGTTTGGGAGTGAGGATTGCCCAGCCTGCTCCTGTCTAAGGCCGGAAGTTGGCTTCTAGCTTCCCAATGCCTGCAAATTTTGGGGTTTTCCCAGGCAGCAAGGCCCTTAGGTAACCGGGTCCTGCCCCACCTGCCAACAGCACCTCACCTTACGCCTACAGAGCTGTCACTCATTCCTCCCCAAGAATGCCCAAGAGCTGTTTGTCAAATCTACTCCACAAGCTCAGCCCCGGAGTCGAGTTTGGGCCGCGTGGCATGGCACCTTGTGTGCATGCACGTGCATACCTTTGTGCCAATTGGTGACGGGGTCAAGCTCATGTGAACATCCAGGCAGGCTAGGGATGTTTGCAGGTGAGCAAGAGGGTCAGATGTGGGTGACTGCTGGGACCCCAGAGCTGAAGCTCTGGCAGGCTTTAGTGGCGTGCTCTCTGCTGCAGAAGGGAGCAGAGGCAAGTGTGTGTGTCTGTGCACACACGTTCCCCTCCCCCAGTCAGATTTGCCTGAGAAGGACCCCTCAGCCCTGGCGGGCAGGCCCCAGCCACACAAAGCCCCGTTTGCAGCCCCCTGCCCAGCTTTGTTCTCCTCTCAGCACAGGGGGCGGGGCTGAGGCCGGAGGGGTGCTGTTTGTCCAGGAGAGGGGAAGCCGCGCTGCAAAGCAGCTTTTCTGCTTAGCCGGACCTCGGGGCTGGCGGGCTCCACAGCACCTCCTCCTTCGCTGGTCCTCCTCCTCCTCTCACTGGCCACCCACAGAGCCAGGATCAGAATGGAAACCATCAAGGAAGCCAGGGCTTATCAGTACCAGGGACCCCCACACTGGGGCCTTGCCTGGTGGTTCTTATCTCCGCATACCAAGGACAAGAAAATGAAGCCTCCAGAGTGGTAGCTGACCTCAGGTCACACTGGGTGGTGGGAAGGGATTCCAGCGCAGGTCTGTTTTCTTCACTTACCGTGCATGGCTCCTGTCCAGAGAGGAAAATGGTGTGGGGCTCAGCAAACATGTATGCCCCAAAGTCAGTGATTGGAATTCCAAGGGCAGATTTCAAGGGGAGGCTGGGAATGGAGCTCCCATTGCGCCTGGACAAGTAGGGGTGTTGAGGCTGAGAGGAGTGCCCAGGAGGATGTCTTCAGAGATCGTGGCTTTACGCTAAGGCCCACAGGATCCTAAGGAAGACAATGCCTCTGGGAATTAGCAGCAGCAGAGTGACACTGTCATTTTTAAAAATGTCCCTCTGGCTTAGGAAGTAGATTCATGAGATAAGATGGGACCAGACTGGGTCCCTGTTTCTTCTATAAAGTACGGTTTATCACTCACATTTGATGGGTTATAGGAAATCAGGGAGAAGACAGCTGCCACAGAATTGATGCTCAGGGCTGGGCTGGGCCGCTGTGGGAATTCATTGGCTATCTTACCCTGGTTAGGCTGTGACACTGGTTTTGGCAAGGAGACAGCTAAGAAACTGGATGCCATGGGCTTCACGGTGCTGGCCACTGTGTTGGATTTGGATAGCCCTGGTGCCCTAGAACTGCGTGCCTGTTGTTCCCCTCGCTTAAAGCTGCTGGAGTTGGACCTGACCAAGCCAGAGGACATCAGTCGAGTGCTGGAATTCACCAAGGCTCACACCACAGGCACTGGTCAGTAGACGTGGCTCCATGAGGGCTGGGCATGGCTGGGCGAGTGTGAGGGAGGCAGGGATTGATTGCATGTCTGCTGTCAGCTGAACCGGCCCCCCCTCCTGCTTTTGTGCCCTCAGGCCTGTGGGGTCTGGTTAACAATGCTGGCCTCAACAGCGTAGTGGCTGATGTGGAGCTGTCTCCAGTGACAACTTTCCGAAACTGCATGGAGGTGAACTTCTTTGGTGCACTTGAGCTGACCAAGGGCCTCCTGCCCCTCCTGCGTCACTCAAGGGGACGTATTGTGACCATTGGCAGCCCAGCAGGTAAGCGCCTTCCACTCTGAGGCACAGTAGTAAAGGAGAAGCTGTCGGGTGAGGAATGATCTGGGGAACTCCTGGCCAAGGCTGAGCAGCCTCTTCCCCTTCCTATCCCCAGGAGACATGCCGTATCCCTGCTTGGCAGCCTATGGCGCCTCTAAGGCCGCTGTGGCACTGCTTATGGACACATTTGGCTGTGAACTGCTTCCCTGGGGTATCAAGGTCAGCATTATCCAGCCTGGCTGCTTCAAAACAGGTGAGGGACCAGGTTTGGGGTGGGGCACGCATGTGGCCTGGGTGTGTGGTCTGAGGATCTAGTGTGACTTGGGTTATAGACTTGGTTCACATTAAATAGATTAGTAGCCTCTGGCTCCTCCAGCTGCTGCCTGCTGACCTTGCTGTCCCTTCTTCAGAGTCGGTGACCAATGTGAACCTCTGGGAGAAGCGCAAGCAACTGCTGCTGGCCAACCTGCCTGGAGAGCTGCTGCAGGCCTATGGCGAAGACTACATCGAGCACTTGCACGGGCAGTTCCTGCATTCGCTCAGAATGGCAGTGCCTGACCTCAGCCCAGTTGTAGACGCCATCATTGATGCACTGCTGGCAGCTCAGCCACGCCGCCGCTATTACCCAGGCCGTGGCCTGATGCTCATGTATTTCATCCATCACTACCTGCCGGAGAGCCTACGACGCCGCTTCCTGCAGAACTTCTTCATCAGTCACCGTCTGCCCCGAGCACTGAGGTCTGGCCAACCTGGCCCGGCTCCTGCTTAGGACACACCCCAGGACCCAAACCCTTCCCTAGTGGCAGCTCAGTGAGCCACAAATGGCCTAAGTGCTCCAGCAAAAGAGGCTCCATGAGCCCTTGGCCCTTTTCCTAGCCATTATAAACCCCTCAACCTTGCCCTAGAACAGCAGTTTTTAGCCTGTGGGTCGTGACCCCTTTGACAAATTTCTATCTCTAAAAATATTTACATTATAATTCATAACAGTAGCAAAATTAGTTATGAAGTAGCAACAAAAATAATTTTATGATATGATTCCATATCATGAGGAACTGTATTAAAGGGTCACAGCATTAGGAAGGTTGAGAACCACTGCCCTAGAGTCTATGTTAAGAAAAGCCCAGACTCTACTGCTGATGCCTAGTCCAGGCCTGGGAAGCTGAAGGTTGCTAGTGAACCTCTGGACCTCTCCACTGCTTCATGAACCTCTACATCCTCTACCAGATACAATGCTCCACATTGCAGCTTGGAGAACCCAGCTGGATGGAGAGTTTGGTGAAAGATTATCTGTAGCCTTTGACAGGATTCTACAGATCATTTCTCTGCAAACTGGAGAGTGATTAGGCAGGTGGGCACCTCCTCAGGATTCTCAGCACCAGTGCCTAAGTGCTGCCAAGTCCAGAGTAAATCCCAATTGTCTCTTGACCGGCTCAAGAATTAGGTCCCCAACTACCTGCTCCTAAACCACAAGGGAAGCTGCACACTGCACTTGTCTGGTTGTTGGCATTTTAAAATAAAGACACATTTTTATTTCTCCTAGAATGGGGGAGATCAGTGTTTGAAGGAGGTGACTGCCTGGTTGCCTGGGTGACAAGGTGTGATTACACAATACTGCCAGGGATATCCTGGGACCAGCAGAGGAGGTGATTGGGCTTCCCAGGCACTCTGTGGTTCATATTCCTCTTCCACTGACCTCAGGCAAATACTAGAACCGGGTTTCTACATAGTGAGATAAAGAAAATGGCCAGTTTTGGAGAGTTACAGGGCATGTGAGCAGTCAGTGAGGTCTGGGGCCCCCAGACCCAAGACACATCTCTCCAACGAGCCCCACCTCAGCCCCTCTGTGCCTGAGCTCCAGCAGAAAGAGCCTCCTCCAGGGATGCCCCTGACCCTGTGGCTGCCGACCACAGCAGCAGCTCAATCAAGGGTGCAGTGCTGAAGAGAGCTGGGGTCAAGGAGAGGTACTAGGTCCCAAAGGAGAGCAGACGGTAGGCTTTTTAAAGAGGGCATTTTATTGTCTCAGAGGGGCAGAGCTGAGTTAGAGGGGAGTGAGAAGCTACTTCCCCCAGACCCCAAAGACACACACTCTAATCTTCCATGGGCCACGGCTCTGGGGATGACCCACAGAAGGGAAGAAGACTCACACTGCCCCAGGGGTTCTTAGGTTAGGGAGGGGCATGAAAGTGACACCAGTTTCTTAGACAAGTCAGTGCTGTAAACATAGGGCTGGGGGCTCTTTGCTCTGGAGGGGATCTTGGTCCATTTTCACCAGGGGAGAGGTCCCTGACCCCTTTTTAGGCCTAAGAGTAGTCCCAGAGGGGGTCATGGAAGCTGGGCAACCCCAGAACAACGTGCTACACCTCACCAGGTCAGACAAGTGAGCCATGGGCTTCACACTGCACACAAAGACACACACAGTGCTTCTGGGAACCTTGGGTGGGAACGCTAGAAGATGGGGATGTAGTTGTCGATCTTGGCGCGATGGCGCTGCGCGATGCACTCAGCAATCCACACAATGTTGCGACATTCCTGTTCCTTAAGCTTCACAAAGGCATAAAAGACACCAAAGTGGAACTGGTTCAGGAAGGCCAACTTGTTCAGCTTCACCTGTGGACAGAGGCAGGTGTGATGCACAGGTGGTTGTGGCCAGCAGTCATTAAGTCCTAAGTCACAACCCTCCCTCTACTGGGCAAGTTCCACAAGGGCCCTGTCCTTACCTCATGTTCAAAGAATCGGTCCTCCAGGGTCTTGTCTCCAGGATTGCTACCTGCACCCTCAAAAAGTAGTTTGTATTCCTGGCCAGGAAATGGGGAGAAGCACAAGTGTGAGTGCTACTGGGTGCTGGGGTGCCAACATGGCCACCTAAATCTTGTCAGGAGAGCACTCACCGGGTAGTAATCAGCTACATTCTTGACCTGTTCATAGTCATCAGCCCGAGCGAGCTGAGCCAAGCCCTCAGGGTAGAGTCGGCCACAGTGTGGAAAGAGCTTGGCGCGGTCCTCCTTGGACAGCTCTGTGCCGAAAGAGTTGATGGTGATGATGAAGGCGCGGCGGTCTGCTTCAAACTGCAGGGCCGGTGCACAGGGGAGGAGAGAGAAAGATGAGGGAGACCACAGCCAGTCAGTTGGCAAGGATCAGTGGGAACAAAAGGCAGAGAGTCGGGCAGCACTCACCTCTAGGATAGGACACATGGCATCAGCTGTGGTCCCACCCAGTAGAGTGCAGAACTTGTAGAAGGACTCGAGATAGGCCTGCAGAGAGGACAGTGTTTGCTTAGAGCAAGGAGAGCAATATTGGGAGACACTGGAAACCTAGTCAGGGGCTGGAAAATGGCTCAGAGGTCACAAGCACTGACTGCTCTTCTAGAAGACCGGGGTTCAATTCCCAGCACCCACATGGTGGCTCACAACTGTCTGTGACTTCATTTCCACGAGACCTGACACCCTGACACAGGCAAAACACCAATGTACATTGAAAAACAAACAAAACCCCACAAACATTAAAGGAAAAGAAAAAACAAGAAGGAACCTAGTCAGTTTACTTCTCCATCTAAGCCTTGTATGGTAGGGTGGGCCAGCTAATGCTATGACAATTTCCCTGTACCAAAACATCTGCCAGTTTCAACAATTAATCACCCAAGCAGTAGTAGCTCGCCGTCTTCTATCTGGGGTGACAGAACAGTTTCTGACCCACTGTCTGCTTCAGGGTACATGTTCCACCCCTTTCTCTTGGACAGCCAACCTTAGAGGGGCTCTGCCATCCTTTTCTCCTAGTCTCCAGAAACCTCCCCTTCCCTAGCCTCAGAAAACCAGGTATCCAAGGGCTAGTGAGGGAAAGCTATCCTCAGAATTCACAAATGGTCTAGACTGAATCCATAAACCCTCCCTTGCAAGAAGCCACCTTGCAGAACACTACTCCTCCCAGCCCCAGGCATCCCCTAGGCATCAACAAACAGCAGGAACCAAATTATCAGGTCAGTTCCTGATGAAGGATGGTTATCACCTATGTGAACGCAGGCCTCACCGTCAATAACTAGGTACATGGGCTGCCGGCGGAAATAAGTACTTTTTGTTCAGGCAAATTAGATCTGCTGGGCATGAGGAAAGGACAGGTCACCCCAGATACAAGGTCTTTCCTGACTCTAGTTCATAAAGTCACACAGGTTTCTTTCCAATACCTTCCCCCTCATCATGATCTGGCAGACTCCCTGGGTAACAATCTTGCATGAAACTTCACTTAGATATCACCTAAGGTTCCATACGTAACATGGCCAGAGACTCTGGATCCACATATTGAGGACAATTCTGAGTTGGGGTTGGGGAGCTTGTAAGGAATGAAAAACTTTCCACATTCAGGTGTGCCTTCTGAGCCGGCTTGGACCCATAGGACCTGCCATTCCAAGAGAGACTAGATGAGCCCCAGAGCCCCACAAGCACAGTGATACTATGCTCAGGGCAAAACCTGCAGGTGACCACCGAGATCACAGGAAACAAAAAGCCAGTGTAAGTCAGTAGTAAGAAAAAGCCTGGAGGCTGGGCAGTAGTGGCACAGGCCTTTAATCCCAGCACTTGAGAGGCAGAGGCAGGCGGATCTCTGAGTTTCAGACCAGCCTAGTTTAAAAAGCAGATGCCAGGACAGCCAGGACTACACAGAGAAACCCTGTCTCGAGAAACCACAAAACAAACAAACAAAAAACTAAAAAAAAAAAAAAAAAAAGGAAGGAAAGGACAAACAGAGCCCAACACAGAGGATCTCAAGAGAATCAAAAGCCTGCAGCAGAAATGGTTCCCAGCTCCCACCAGGGCTTGGTGGTACTTCTCAATCCCTCCAGGAGTCAGTGCTCCATAGCCTTTCTTATGGCCAGCCAAGCTGGTTACGCTGGAATTTTAGGACCTACCCTGGTGGAGCCTGCAGTTCCTATCTGTAGGGAAACCACTAGCCAGATCTTAGGTTCCATGCCCTGTTACCTAACCTGTTTGCTTAGCCAAGCTGTACTGATCCCCAGAGAAGCTGACCCTTGGTTAAGGTCTATACTTTCCTCCAGAGGCTACAGCAGCAAAGAAACTGGCAAGACCCAGGTACCAAGGTCACCTCCCCAGCCCCACCCTGTACCCTGGAGTCTGCCAGCCGATGGTTCTGCACCAGCTGTCTACAGTTTACCTGCCAGACACTGAGGGTCCACCTAATCTCCCATCTGGGGCCACTGGGCTGGGACATTCATTGCCTGACAGGCAGGCAGTTCTGGCATGGGGTCCATAGAGCTGGGTTGGTGTTTATGAGCTGGTTCCTGGGCAGTTCTTGCCAGTGACTCCAGCTAAAACCAGTCAGGCCCAGTGAGGGTGTGGGTAAGGCTGGGGGGATAGCCACACCCCTCATCCTGTCTAGGGCAGGGAATTTGTCAATGAGCCAGGTGAGTGTGTGGGACAGTATAAGACTTTGTATGTATATGTGTATTTGTGTGTGTGCGCACAAATGTGTATGTTTGCATGTACCCCTTACCTCTAATCTGCCTTCCACCCTGCAGTCATAGACGGCCTTCTAAGAATACTTTGCTCTGTGAGAAGACTTAAGGCTCACACCTAAAGTTGTTGTTTTGGTTTTTTTTTTTCCCACATTTTACTTATTTTGTGTACATGTACATGTGAAGGTCGGAAGACAATTAGTGGGTGTCAGCTCTCTCCTTCCACCATGTGGGTCCCAGGGATTAAACTCAGGCTGTCTAGCTTGGCGGTAAGCATCTTCATTTTCCGAGCCATCTTGTCAGCCCAAACTTCAAACTTACCTTTTTGTGCTTATTGTTGTAGTTTGTTTTGTGACAGGGTCTCACTGTATAGTCCTGGCTGTTCTGAAACCTAATACATAGACTCAGACTCACAGATCTGCCTGCCTCTGCCTCCTGAGTACTAGGATTGAAGGCATGTGTCACTATGACTGGCTTACTTTCTTTTCTTGAGACAGACTCTTACTATGGAGACCTGACTGACCTGGAATTCACAACATATATAAGGTAATCTTGAACTTAGTAAAAATTCTCCTGCTTGAGCTTTCTGAGTACTTTGAGGTATGCAACATCACTCCCAACTAAATAAAAACTTTTGATCTGGCATTCAAGGCCCTGGGTGACTTGGTTCAGTGCCTGCCTCTTCACTCAGACCTCCTCCCCGCTATCCGTTGAAAGGCTGCACTTTCACAGTACAGCCTGCCGTCTGCCCTGGCCCTGCTCCTGGCTTTCTTTTTGTTTATACCACCTTCTGCCTGCATTATCATAGCTTCCACCATCTACCACCAGATCGATCCTTGCTGTATGTTGGTCCCAGCTCCACAGAAAGACCAGAAGATCTGATAGCTACCTCTTAATCTCTGCCACGACTGCGGGAACCCAGGAATCCCAAGCCCACTCTATCCCCAGAGGCTAGCCAGTCTATGCCACAGCCTAGTGGAGGCAAAAGGCGAGTAGAAGCTGAAGACAGTGAGATATAAGGCACTGGCTCAGAGTCTGGGAACCTGAAAAGGTCATAGTGACCTGGCTGTGC